AGGTTGCAGCCACCTAGCCCCGCCTGCTGTGGGTGGTTGTCAAATGCAGCATCCCCTTCCTTCGCTGTCAGGAAGAGACCGGCTCCCCATGCCATTCACGTGCACAGGAATGGACCGGAACCCGGCGAGTGACTGCGTCTCCTCCGAGGCCTATGAGGGCTTGGTGGGCAGGGGCTGCACCTCGTTCAAATTAGTTTCCAGGAGAAAACGTGCACACGGTAGACACTCCATAAATCATGGGGCTTCGGGACATAACCTATTTTACTGCTCTGTTCTTTATTACAAAAGCAATCAGTATTTATTTATTTTTTTAAAGTAATCAGCAGAACAGAGAAAATTGAAGCATTTGCGTCCTGCCAGCCACCGTGGCCCTGCCAATGCCGTGGGCACCCTTCAGGTCTCCTGTGTGGGGTTCATTTTTGTAACATGGGGTCACACTGGATGTAATGTTTTGTAGCCTTTATTTCCACATGGCAATAGTGCATCATATGAAAGCAGCGTTCTTCCATTCTGTGTTATTGACCGGATAATGTGGTGATGATAATGTCATATGTGGCCGTATTATTGTCGATCATGCTGGGTGGAGTGTGGGAAGGAAGAGAGCAAAGAGGAGAAACCCTTTACACACACTCCAGGAGCCTTCCGCCAATTAGAGAGGGCAGCCCGATGTCACGGCAACCACCCAAGGACTTGGATCTGCAAGGCCACTTAGCAGCCTGTCTGGGGGGTCGGGCAGAGACTGCTGGTGTCCTGCCGGCTGCCCTCTCTGACCCCTACTGTGAGGGCCAGGTGGTTCAGGGAAGCCTGAGGAAGGCAGGGAACTAACCCGGGGCAAGGCGGCCTCGCTGCCCCGCTGACCCCTGTACTGTGGGGCTGGACAGGTGAATGCTGCCATCATCACTGCTGGGAGGGGACGGAGGTGGGAAAAGCAGGGTGCAAAACACACCTCTCCGGGCGTCGGCTGAGAATTCACCTGACTTTTGCAAATGCTCGATTGGCTTTCATTCACTTCACAACCCCACTGTCAAGCTCACAGCCAGGCAAGGGACTCAGTGATGAATCCTGGGCCTCCAGGAGCCACAATCTTGGGGGATGAGGGACGAGTCAACAGAAGAGGACCAACACTAACCCAGAGAGGGCGGGGACCGGGGAAGGAAGCCTGGGGGAGGGGCCTCCACTGTGTCTGGAAGGACCAGAGGAGGAACCTGGGGAAGAGGTGTGGGAAGGGCACGTCCCAGAGAGGGAACAGCAGGTACAAAGCCTCCAGGCTGTGGGTGACTGGGAGTGCCAGTGGCATGGATAAGCGGGGAAACCAGCGGCAGCTCCTGCAGGCAGAGGGGAGCTGCCGAAACCCTGCAAGATCAGATCTCCTCATTGCAAATGGCCGGCTGGGGATCGGATCTCAGGTCTTCTGAACGCTGCCCCAGGCTCCAAAGGGCAGCCAGAGGCCTCAGATGGCAGAACTTCATTCTCTTCATACACGTCGCAAATGGCAGGGCTCGCCTCGAGACCCGATGTCTCAGGAGAGCCCTCAAGCCTGGTGATGAGGGAATACTTCGTGGAGGAGGTGGGCTGGGGGCTAGTAGACCCTGAAGAATACAGGAAAGCTGGAGCAGGGGGCTGAACCTAGCACACGTGGGGACATGGGGAGGAGTCGCCTTAGGTAAAGCTGCCAGGATGAGGAAGGCCAAGTTTGGGGGTCATAACGGAGGCTTACATTCTCCAGCCCAGGAGGGGGCTCCCAGGGCGTGTCAGCTGAGAACACTGGGGTGCCCTGGGCCTGAGAGGTGGTCTCCTGGCAGTGAGGCCTTGAAAGGGGAGGGCCGCGGTGGGGAGCGTGGGCTCCGGGGAGGCCCGCGGTGGGCAGCGTGGGCTCTGGAGTCAGACAGCCAGGTTCATATCCTGTCCTACTCTCTTCTGGCTGTGTGACTCTGGCCAAGTTACCCAGCCTCCCTGGGCTCTGGCTTCTGAATTATGAAAAGGAGCTGCTGTGAGTGTCCCTCCATGGCATCATTGTGTTTTGTGCAGGATGATGGAGGACTCAGCTCAGTGCATGTCTCGGGGTAGAGAGCGCATCGTGCCCGTCGCTGCAGAGGGTGCCATGGAGAGGAAGCCTGGCAGGAGGCCTGGAGGAGGTGGAGGCAGAATCAAGATGCAGCACAGGGATCTCCACCAGAGCCACCTGCGGCTGGAAAATGCCCCAGGCAGCTCCTGGGGAGCCCAGAGCCAGGGAGAAGGGGACAGGCAGGGCGACAGCATGTGCACGGTGCACAGGGCACCTCGGGGAAGCCTGGGCAGGGTCAGAGCAGTGAGCGGCACATGCAGCTGGACCTCCCCTGAGAAGACACGGGGCTCTCAAGTGCAGGAGTACCTCTGAGGGCCACAGTAGGCAGGGGTGGACCAGACAGATGGTCCCCCATCCCGCCGAGGGTATGTCCCAGCTGGCCTGTCAAATGCCAGGTGCTTTGCTGGCAGAGTGCATGTGAATGGTGAGTGCGTGTGGGCATGAGGGGCGGGGAATGTGAACGTGTTTGGTGTGGTGGGGTGATTGTGTGCAGGTGCGTGTGGGCAGCTCTGCATGCACGTTGTGGGTGAGTCTGGCTGTGCAGGTGTGTGTGCCGTGTGTGGGGTGTGCTGGAAGTGTGGGAGTGAGCTGTGGGCCTGGGGAGCGACTGCATGTGTGAACACGTCCGTGTGTGGCTGTGGACACGTGTGTGCTGATGTGTGGGAGTAGGCTGGATGTGAGGGAGTGTCTGTTCCTCCACGGCCTCGGGCATGTTCTCTGTGTGGGGGAGTGCATGTACCTGTGTGTAATGCGTGCATGTGTGTGTCCGTGCATGCACAGGTATGTGTTGGTATGTTTCGTCACCCTTTGTATCCGTGGGTTCCACATCTGCAGATTCAACCAACCTCAGATTGAAAATATTCTTAGAAAACAATAAAAATAGCAAACCAACAACTAAAAATACCACAAGTGAAATTACACAGGGTAACATCCATCTACCCAGCGCTCACACTGTGTTAGGCGCTACAAACGGCCCCCATGAGTCTCAGCAAACAGAGGATGTGCACAGGTTACAGGCAAATACCGCATAATTTTACGTAACAACCTGAGCATTGGAGGATTTGGGGCTTTGAGGAAGATCCGGAAACCAATCCCGTGTGAATGGTGAGGGATGCTTGTGTTTGCATTGTGTGTGTATGTGCATGCGGTGTGTGTGTTTGCATGTGTGCGTCTGTGTGTGCGTGTATGTGTGTATGCATGTGCGCCTGTTTAGGCCATGGACTGAGTCTGACTGTCTGTCAGGCCCCATGCCGGGCACATCACGGGCTTGGCCTCCTTGACTCCAGAGCCTTCCTTTCCCTCACTTTGTACAGAAGGAAACTGAAGCTCAGAGAAGACGCTTCTGCAAAGCCTCGTGGCCCTTTTGTGGCTGGGCCTCCGGACCCAAGCCCTCCTGCTCTGGAGTCCCCTGTGCTTTTGACCCCGTCCCCATTTCATCTATACAGGAGCTGGGGGTGAGCTCAGATTCTGCCGGAAGCACTGCGACTTCAGCACCCTCCTCATGGCTGCTAGTGCAGCCACTGCCCCCTGGCTTTGGGGTCACTGTCCAGTGGGATGCATGTGGCTTTGGGGGCCCTGCCCTCTGGGATGCAGGTCTGACTGTCCCTCCCCACTTCTCTTTCCCCGCTCAGGCCAAGCTTGGTGGCGAGATCCTGGACTACAGGGACTTGGCAGCCCTTCCTAAAAGTAAGGCCATCTATGACATCGACCGTCCGGACATGATCTCCTACTCGCCCTACATCAGCCACTCTGCAGGGGACAGGCAGAGCTACGGCGAGGTATGGACCCTGCCTGCATGGCAGGGCGTCCTCCCTCGGGCATGTCCCATGGGGCCAGAGCCCACTTTCACCTTCCCCACGCACCCACACACCCGTCAGATAGCCACACGTGTGTCCAGTTTAGGTACTGCCCGAGTCCCTGTGACCCAGAGCTGCCGTCGCTGAAGAGTGAGTCTGGAATCTTCCTTACACGGAGCAGGAAGTAGGAAGCATGCTGGTTTGTAGGAAAGATGATAGCAACTCACTGAAAATCTCCTCATTTTCTTAAGCATGAGATTCTTTTCCTAAAGCATGAGATGCGTTTCCTCAGTAGAACACTGTGGACCACACGCCACCCTCCCTGCCAGCTCTGCCCCATGCTTCTCTGCCCCGTGAACTCATGAGCCAATGTGGCTGACCTGAACCACAGATTGTTTATTTCCTGGCACACCTGCGCACAGCGTTCCTTACTCCTCGGGGGTTTCCTACTCTCTTTTTTTTTTTCTTTTTTAAAAATATTTATTTATTTATTTATTTATTTATTTATTTATTGAGAGATGGGGTTTCACCATGTTGGTCAGGCTGGTCTTGAACTCCTGACCTCATGATCTGCCCGCCTTGGCCTCCCAACATTCTGAGATTACAGGCGTGAGCCACCGCGCCCAGCCTGGAGTCTTCTTATTCCGAGCCGCGCTATCCATTTCCTGTGGAATGCATTGTTGGTTTTTGCTTTTCCTCTTGCAGTTCTGAGGTTTCAACAGGACCATGGCTGCCTGGGGTAGGAGGCGGCGTTGCCAGGCTGGTGGCCCGAGTGTATGTGCTCTTGGCATGTGTGCCGCCAGGGATGGGGTTCTCCCCGGGGTGGGGAAGCCCAGTGCCTTCAAACACGTTTCCCTTGGGCCTTCTCATTTAGACACTTCAACAAGGGCCTCTTGGGAAGGAAGAGCTGAGTCTCCAGGGCTTCATGTTCTGTGTGGATGATGTGGGGTGAGGAAGCCATGGCTGCTGGGTGCACCTGCCGAGCTCAAGGGCTGTGCAGGGAGGTGAGACAAGTGCAGGGCCGGCAGGTGCCCTCCTGACTTGCTTCTGAGAACCCTGTGCATCACAGGACTTTGAGGATGTGGGTGGCAAGCCCCACTGACACTGAGAGGGATCAGCAGGGGGAGCTGAGGGAGGCTATCCCGACCCGAACCCACCCACCCGCACCCACCCACCTGCACCCACCTGCACCCACCCACCCGCAACCACCCACACCCACCTACACCCACCCACCCGCAGCCACCCACACCCACCTACACCCACCCACCCGCAGCCACCCACACCCACCCACCTGCAGCCACCCACCTGCACCCACCTACACCCACTTACCTGCACCCACCCACCCGCAGCCACCCACACCCACCTACACCCACCCACCCGCAGCCACCCACACCCACCCACCCGCAGCCACCCACACCCACCTATACCCACCCACCCACCTGCAGCCACCTACACCCACTTGCACCCACCTACACCCACTTACCTGCACCTACCCACCTGCACCCAACTACACCCACTTACCTGCACCCACGTACACCCACTTACCTGCACCCATCCACCTGCACCCACCTACACCCACCCACCTACACACACCCACCTGCACCCACCCACCTGCACCCACCTACACCCACCCACCTGCACCCACCTACACCCACTCACCCGCACCCACCTACACTCACTCACCCGCACCCACCTACACCCACCACCTACACCCACCCACCTGCACCCACCTACACCCACCCACCTGCACCCACCTACACCCACCCACCTGCACCCACCTACACCCACTCACCCGCACCCACCTACACTCACTCACCCGCACCCACCTACACCCACCACCTACACCTACCCACCTGCACCCACCTACACCCACCTACGTGTACCCACTTGTACCCACCTACCACACACCCAGGCTGGGTGTGGACTTTGTCATCCCAACATCTGGTCTGCACCTGGACCAGACACTGGCAGAGAGTCTGTGAGGACTCGAGACTTGGCTATAGGGCTGAGACCCAAATCCAGTCCTTCCTTACCCCAAGACCACAGGACATGCTGGCTGTTTTTCTAGCACATCCTGGCGCTCTCTCTGGGACATGGAATTCAAGCCTAGAGGACTGGCCTCACAATCCTGCTCCACCACCTGGCAGCCTTGGGGCACTGGGCACACTCCTTCCTGGTTTGGGTGTGTGTGTCCCTGCGGAAGGGCTCTGTGGCCGTGAAGGGCCACGTGCAGAGGTGATGTGTGGGCGTGGGCTGTCATCACCCTCCACCCCGCTCCCAGGTTCCATGGTGTGACCAGGACTCAGCTTCCAGTCGCAAAGTGAACGCCGGCCCTTAGCTGTGTCACGGAGGTTTCTTTCATCCTCTCTAGGGCTGAGCCCCTCAAATGGCAAGACATCTGTGAACCATGGATGATCCCACCCCAAGACCTGTCCTCAGAGGGCAGAGGAGTGGCAGGAAGGGAGGGGCTGTGGTTCCGGAGTCACCCTCTCCCTCTGGGGACACCTGGGTTGGCCTCCCTGCTCTGCTAAACACTAGCACCTGTGTGTGAGCTTCTTCTCTGAGCTGTAAAGTGCGTGCCTGCCTCAGCAGGTGGACGGGGCGGGCACCTGGGTCAGGTGTGTCCACACTGAGCTTCCTCTGTGCCCATGGCCAGGAGCAGCCTGAGGCTTCCTCCCTGATTCCATCACCCACAGCCTTTGGCTTCCCATCTCCTGTGGTGGCCTCCCAGAGGCCGTCGAGTTATTTCACCATAATAACCATGGTTTCTGTGAACGCGCGCCTCCCCACTCTGCGTGGGAACGGCATTCTCTGTCCCCTTGCATGACACCTCATGAGGGCCGTGCATTTTCTGGATGCCCTCATGAGGTGGGCCTTCCTCCCACCTCCTACCTCCCTGCCCCTCACTAATCATCAGTGTGGGTGGTAGTGGATGGGGTGCCAGCCTGGGAGGACAGGTCTGCCTGCTGTCCAGGGCCCTGGGGCCCCCAGGGCGGAGCCGGCTCCAACCCAAAGGCTCCTATCGCCCACTGTCTCCGTTGAGCCCCTTTTCTGTCTTGTCCAGAGGTCAGAGCCCGTAGGGTGTTGCTGCCCATGCCCTGAGCCAGTCTCTTCCTTCTGGGAAAATAGGTGTTTGTGGGAGAACAGTGGGATATGGGGGTGGCCAGGGGGAGACAAGCTCTGGGCTCATGGGCATGAAATCAGTTCCCCGGGGGCCTCTTTCTCTGGGTAGAATTAACCATGTTTCTGCAAAGAGAAGGTTCCGGAGTCCTGGCTTGTGTCTCTCGGGGTAGGGTTCTTTTCCTGTCTCAAGGGTCGGGGCTCTGTGTTGCCTGCCGGTCACGGCACTGCCTTCCCTCTCTGCCTGGCGCCGGCACTAATGGCCACTTTGTGTGTTGTGTCCACAGTCCCCTCAGTTGCTCTCGCCAACGCCGACCGAGGTAACCACCACCCTCTCGCCTGCCCCCGCTTGCCGTGGCGCTGCCGTCCAGGTTATAAACATAACTGCCCAGCCGCACCCCTGGGAGGGGCCTGCTCAGTGGCTCTTCCCTGTGGGTCCCAGGGCCACAGCCCTCGTGGCATGGGGCACCCTCCCGGCTGCTGGTTATCTTTATGACCATGCTGAACCTGCATGCTTCCCCTGTGTGTCTGCCAGTCCTGAAGCCGTGGCCGCCTGGAACGCGGGATACCCTGAGCATATCGTGGTCTGGGCCATGGCCTCCTTTAGGGGAAAATTCAGGAGCCTGGCTGAGCCTGGGAGCACTTCCTGCCTCCTGCCTCTCCACATGGGATGGATGGGAAGCCCCTGGTCCGCCTGAGAAACACTGGATGTGTCTCTCTGCAAAAGAGCCTTTACAGTTAGCGGTCCAGCTTTTTTTTTTTTTTTTTTTTACGTTTCTCAAAATTAATCAGTGACATAGAGAGCTGCTCATCAGATTGCAGTCTGCAGGTGGCTACAACAGAAAGGTGCCGTGGTAGCCGGGAATAGAGAGCCCTGGCAGCGGCCGCACCCCCAGCTCTTCCCCTGTGCTTGGTGCCATGGTAAACATTTTATAGACCAGAAGCAGTGGCTCATGCCTGTAATCCCATCACTTTAGGAGGCCGAGGTCGGCGGATCACTGAGGTCAGGAGTTCAAGACCAGCCCGGCCAACGTGCTGAAACCTCATCTCTACTAAAAATAAAAAAATTACCCGGGTGTGGTGGCATGCACCTGTGGTCCCAGCTACTCTGAAGGCTGAGGCAGGGAAATCGCTTGAACCCAGGAGACAGGTTGCAGTGAGCTGAGATCACGCCGTTGCACTCCAGCCTGGGTGACAGAGACTCCATCTCAAAAAAAAGAACGTGTATATTTATTCATCCCCCACCACAACCCCCAGAGGCAAGTTTTGTGATTTTGCTGCAGAGAAACTGAGGCACGGGGAAGTTACATAACCTTTCTAGGGTCACACACGGGAGGATTTCAGTCCAGCTGGTGGCACGGAGCCTGTGCTCACCCACTGAGCTCTCCAGCCTCCCGCTTCAGACAGCCTGTCCCGTGGGAGCTGTGCACAGCCGTGGGTCCCTGGGGACTGAGTACCCAGAGCACTGATTCTGATGTACCAGTGACTTTTGATGTCCCAGGCCTGGAGCCGGGCACTTTTTCATTTCCTCACTTACCCGCACAGGGAACTCCTGAGGGAGGGATGTCGGCTCCCCTTCCTGATGAGATGAAGGGTCTGCTTGGCACAGAGCCCACTCCTGGAAAGAGCCTGGTGTCCCTGCAGAGGCTCCTGTCTCAGGCTGTGCCCCAGAGTGGAGCACAAAAGGGCACACGTTTGCTCAGTGGGAGCCATGCACCGCAGAGGTGGTCACTGTGGTCACCTGGACCTCGGCCACCCTCATCGGGACTTGCCTAGCTTCCTGCCTTCCCTGCCCACAGCCAGGTTTCCCAATCCAGCCCTTAGAAGTGGTCCCAGGAGAACTTACCTCCTGATTGCTGAGGCTGAGGCCCTCCCCAGGTCCTGACAGCTTTGGAGAACCAGAAGCCTTCTGCAGAGCCCCCTTGCCTGGCTTCTCTGCTTGACTCTTTCACCTGCCCCCATAGACACAGGGCCGGGGTACGGCAGGGGAATAGGGCAAGTGTGGGCCTCAGTAGTGCTGTTCTGCTGGAAGAACACGGCCCGCCTGCAAAGCCAGCAGCAACTGGGCATCAAACCCTTGGATCCAGGGATGTGATGACCAAGCATGCAAGGGGCCGCTTGCACCAAGCTGCTGAAACTGTGTGTAGCTGGCAAGCCCAGAGTCCAGGCTGGACCAGGAGCCGGGACACCTGTAAGGTGGACGTTGGCTGCCGGGCCGTGCAGAGGATGCTCAGGGTAGTGATGAGATAGCAGGGCACTAGCCGGCCTGAGAGAGTGCACCCTGGCTGGGGTTAGATGGTCGCCAGGGCGCAGGGAGAAGCCTAGGTAGGAACCTAGCCTGAGCACACTGGGGGTGGCGCGCCAGGCAGGCGTTAGGGACAGCATGCCTTGGGGTGGGAGATACTCTCCGACAGGCCAGGGGAGCCATGGGCCCAGACCAGGAATTCGTTTGCTCATCAGTGCTGCCCTTGAGGGCAAAACAGCAGCATCCACCTACAGCAGGACACTGGGCTGGGCCATGTAATGACCCAGGCCAGCATGTGAAGCTGTGGTGGGCCAGGCAGCCTGCTCTCCCCCGTGCCACGGTGCCACACCACCTCACTCCACCCGCCTCCCACTCCGCCTGCTGCAAACAGCTGCTCCTGCCTGGATGAAGTGTGCCATGTCCATGCCTGTGGGTCTGACTCAGCTGGGTGTCCCAGCCTGGGTGGGGTACCTTTCTACCTCCAAATGAGTGTCGGGGCCGTGAGAGCCCCCGGTTCACACGTGGCAAGCCCCTTCGGGACTGGAGGAGTCTCCATGGTTCTCACACTGTGTTCTAAGAGCCCTGGGCGCTGGCGAGGGTCAGGCAGGAGGAGACCTGGAGGATGCAGCTGGAGCTCCCACCCGCAGGGATGGAAGGGGGGGTCCCCGCCAGTGGGTCCCTGTACTATGCCCTGTGGCGGGGATCCGCCAGGCCCCGCCTGGTTCTTCAGACCTGCTGGGGCAGGCGCGGGGGATTCTCACATGGGGCCAGGTTGAGTCATCCACTCGGGTCAGGAGGGCAAATGCCACATCGGGGTGGGGGGGATGGGTGGACAGGGGTGGGCAGTGCTCCCGGCTCAAATGTTCACGAGCTGTGTCTTCCCTCCCAGGGGGATCAGGATGACCGGTCCTACAAGCAGTGCCGGACCTCCAGCCCAAGCTCCACCGGGTCAGTCAGCCTCGGGCGCTACACCCCGACTTCACGGTCACCACAGCACTACAGCCGTCCAGGTACTTGGTCCCCCCGGTTCCTCTGAGCCCTCAAGGACTCTATCCTTTTCCTCATTTTTTTTTTTTTTTCTGTTAAGTGGCCTTTTCCTTATGCAACTGGAAACATGATGGAAATGGGTGGGATTGCCAGCAGGCGGGTGGCTGAGATCCTGTTCATTTAGTGACATAAAGGAGAGGAGCTCCTCGTGTCTCGGGGCGAGGTGAGCTGCAGAGGCTGCCCTGCTGGTTAGCGGAGCCACGTCCTGGGAAGCACACACTGAGCGCTTAGACTCCAGCTAATGATTTGGTGGCAGGAGATGTCAGGAAGCTAAAGCAGCGCACGTTAGCAGACCAGACGCCAGCCAGTGGCAAGCTCATGTGGGTCTGGGAAGATGGGCTGGGAAAGCAAAGACCGTGGTGGAAAAGTGAAGCCCGTTAACATTTCACCTGTGGCTGAGTTGGTCCTCCAGTGACCGCTGTCCTCACGGGAGAAGGGTGAGAGGCCCCCGCCAATCAGGAGAGAGCCCCAAGGCGAGTCCTCTCCATATGCATCACCTCATCCCCTGCCTGTCGCCCAGCTGTGTATCATTCCCTGTAGCTCTGAAACACCTCGACCCCCCGAGAGTGTGAAAGCCACAGCAGGGACGCTCCACACGGACACTGCCTTTCAAGGGATTTTTCCGAGCTGCTTCCTTCCCGGCCAGCTGCTGCATGGCTCCATTTCCACATCCATGGACTCTAGCTCTTATTCTTGCAGCCTTTGTGGAAAAATCAAAACTCATTCATTTGCCAAGTTATTTCCATTGGCTCCTTGCAATGTGCCTGGTACATTCTGCTCAATAAATGTTGAGAAAGTGCGTAAGGGAATGAGTACATGAGTGAGTGAGTGAGTGAGCAAGCGACTGAACAAGTAAGGGAGTAAATGAGTGAGTGAATGCATGAGTGAAGAAACGAGTGAGCACATGAGTGAATGAATGAGTGAGTGAATGAATGAGTGAATGAATGAGTGAGTGAATGAACGAGTGAGTGAATGAATAAGTGAAGAAATGAGTGAGCGAGCAGGTGAGCAGGTGAGCCAAGGGCAGCCAAATTTATTGAGCTCCTCCTTCTAAGGACCCTTTGCTGGCTCAACCCCCATAGCCCAAGGACGGCCTGGGCTTGTTGACTGCGCTTGGCCCAGGCTAACCCTGAGAGCCAAGCATGCATCTTGCCGGGCGAGGCTGGTGAAGATGTCTGGTGGCAGAGCACTCCCTGAGCTGCTCTCCAGCTGAGTCCTTGATCCTCAGGAGACCCCCAGGGCTGAGCCACAGGCCTGGCTGGAGGCCCTCCCTCCCCTGGGAACCCCTGCCCTCCGCCTGGTACTCCAATGTCCAGTTTCCTCGCTCCGTACCTGGAGGAGAGTGGTTTAAAACGTGTTTGGTGACCCCCTTCAGGTGCAAAAAGGGGTGCATTCCTCGGGAGAGGAAGCCACAGTGTTCCTAGCAGAGTGGGGATGAGGAATATGTGTGGCTTTGTGCCAGCGAGCCCAGGTTGACTCTGACTTGCTCTCTGTTACCCCGTAGCTGGTACTGTGAGTGTGGGTGCCAGTAGCTGCCTCTCCCTGTCCCAACACCCAAGCCCTACATCCATGTTCAGACATCATTACATCCCCCACTTCCGAGGTAAGGCGCGCAGTGCTGTGGGCGGTGGGTGCTCGCGGGCGTCCACGCCCGGCGTCTGTGTGCTCGCTGTCCGTGTCGCCGCATGGCTTCACCGGAGCCCCCGTTTCATGCCCTGTCCCCTCGCTGTGTGTGTCTTGTGCATCTGGCTCCATGTGTCTGTGTGCAAACGTTCCTGGAAGGAAAACGTAGGTACCTTGTTACCTAAAGGAGCAGGAGGGAGAGAGGGCTTGGAAAGCTTCAGGAAGAGGGGACCAGGCGTTCCTGCACACCCCCCTCCCCCACCGCCGCAGGCTTTGTCCTCAGAGCCTTTACCCAAGTCACCACCTTTGATTTCATGTGTCACCCGGGGAACGCAGGTGCTCTCGGGGTTAGTGTTCAGGAGCAGGAGCTATGCTATGCGGAGGCCCCGACTCTTCCACAGCTCGAGCTCCTGGGCCCAGGGCAGGGTTCGCACCCCGTGTGGCTCTAACTGTCAGCTCTCCCAGGAGGAGGTGAGCCATCCACATCCCTGCACGGGCATCCACATGCAGGTCCCATAGGGACACGGCCGTGCTCCTGTTTTTCCTGTATGCCGAGGACTGAAAAGTGCGTCCCCTACACTCATGGGTTGGAGCCCTCATCTCTGACATGACCATATCTGTACAGGGGGCCTTCATTAGATGAGGTCCTCAGGGTGGGCCTGAATCCCATAGAACTGACATCTCTATAAGAAGAGGAAGACTTGCCAGCGCTCCCCCTCTCCCCACACACTCGGATAAAAGGCCACTGCAGACACAGCGATGTCCGCACGCCAGGAAGGACGGTCTCGGGAGAAGCCACGACCTGCCAGACCTGGCTCAGAGAGGACCAGCCTCCAGCACTGTGAGGGGAAATACGTCTGTCATTTACGCCACCCAGGCTGCGGTACCTCGTTACACGGCCCCAGCTGGCTGGTGCGCCACGGAAAGACACTCAGCATTAAAGGAGGCAGCCATGACGCTCTTGCCGATTCCTCCGGCGATGCCGTAAGCTCCCCATCCTGTGCAGCCGCTGACTGGGAGCGTCTCCCGGAAAAGCCTCCCGGGCCACAGGGAGCGAGAAGGTGGGGCAGACGGTGGGACTCCCATCATGGGACGGTCATCAGACGGGGCTCATTCGGACCTGCACGCCTCTCGTACCTCATCACCATGGTTTTCGGAGGGCCCCGTGGCCTACTGAGAAGAGAGTTCCTGACCATTGATGGACATGGCCATCCTCATTTTTCTGGGGACCTGTCCCTACAGCTCATGGCCTCTTTGGCATGATTTGACTCCTTCAGGAAGAAGCAAAGCCCTCCGCCAGGTGCAGTGGCTCACACCTGTAACCCACCACTTCGGGAGGCCAAGGCAGGAGAACCACTTGAGGCCAGGAGTTTAAGAGCAGCCTGGGAAACCTAGTGAGACCCCTTGTCTACAAAAAAAAAAAAAAAAAAAATCAGCTGGGGATGGTGGCGCATGCCTGTAATCTCAACTCCTCAGGAGGCTGAGGCGGGGGGATTGCTTCAGCCCAGGAGTCTAAAGTTGCGGTCAGCTATGATTGCGCCACTGCACTCCAGCCTGGGCAACATAGCAAGACCCCGTCTCAGACGACAAGCAAACAAAAGAAGCAAAGGCAGAAAGGGCACCTCCCCAGAGCAGAAGTACAGCCTGCAGTGGCTTTGCTGTGTGTGGTCCACAACAGTCATGCGGCGGGGGTCGCCCGAAACTCATGGCGAATCCAACCCTTTGGGTGAGTCCTGGCAGGGCACCCAAGGAGATGCCACTTCTCTTGTTGCTCCGTGCCAAGAGGCCCTGGCACCCAGCTCTCCTCCCACCTTCAGCCCTCCTGCTGTGGCCGTCCCAACTGTGGGTCCCTGAGAGGGGCATGGCCAGAGCCTGGGGCAGGCCCACTCCGTGCCCCAGGAAGCCCCTATGAGCAGCCTCCGTGGGGCCTGGACCCAGAGCCTGCCCTGGTGACCCTCCCCTCCTCTGCCCCTTCCTGAGTATCCACCATGTAATTCTTACCACTTCAGGGTGAGGAAGGCCCAGGGCAGGCCCCCTGGGAGCAGCCCCCTCCTCAGCTCCCAAGACAGCCAAAGGGGGAGACCAAGGACTGGCAGCCCCCTTCCCCCGTGCCCTTCCTTCCGCTCCTTGTAGCAGGAGAGGGTTTGGAGGCTGCCCACCTACCCACCCCACCACCACAATGTGGCTCCGAAGCCGTCTGCAACACAGCCCCTCCAAGGACATCTCCCGAGGCCAGGAGGCACCATCCCTTTGAGACCTCCGCTGTGCGGGGTCAGGTTTTTGCCTCTTTGATGCCTGTCTCTGCCCTGGTTCCTCCCTGGACACATTGCCTGCCAGTGCCCTTCATTCAGAAGCCCCTCGGGGCTGGGTGCAGTGGCTCACACCTGTAACCCCAGCACTTTGGGAGGCCAAGGTGGGTGGATCACCTGAGGTTGAGAGTTTGAGACCAACCTAGAGATGGTGAAACCCCGTCTCTACTAAAAATACAAAATTAGCTGGGTATGGTGGCGCGCCTGTAGTCCCAGCTGTTAGGGAGTCTAAGGCAGGAGGATTGCTTGAAGGTGGGAGGACTGTTTGAAACCAGGAGGCGGAGGTTGCAGTGAACTGAGATTGAGCCACTGCACTCTAGCCTGGGCAACAGAGGGAGACTGCATCTCAAAAAAAAAAAAAAAAAAAAAAAAAAAATTGAAAAACAAAAGAAAAGAAAACATCACACAAAGCCGGGTGACCTCCTTTCTGGTGTCCAGTGCAGGGGAAACCCGCACCCCTGCTCTGCCCCCACCTGATTCCCATGGCTGTCCGTGACCTTGCGAGCACCCAGCCTCTTTCCCGAACATCCTCCTGAGGGGACCGAGGCTCAGAGAAAAGCCACTGGCCAAGATCCCAAAGCTCCTTCTGGCAAAGCCCAAGGTCAGGCTTCTACCCGGGGCCCCGTTCGCAGACTGTGTCCACCCTCAGGTCCTGGGCCGACCTCTGAGGCCACGCGGAGGTGCGCGTCCGCCTCTGCTCCAGTGGGTCCCAGCCTAGGGCCTCCCGGCCGCAGCCCTCGGGGTCGGCTGGGCACCACGCAGCATTGCCCGCCCTCTGGGAAAGCCCCTTGTGTTTGCTCCTCGGGCTCTTCTGCCATCTCTGGCCCCACTCGGTGGACCTCACCCTCCAGATGGCACTGTCGGGGGGCGCCCTCCCCAGGCGAGGCTTGGCCCCACCCCAGCACACCTTCCCACCAAGACCCAGCTTCCGAAGAGGTGCTGGCCACAGCCATGGGCGGTGTCTCTTGAATTTCAGTCCCCTGACGTGTCCCCTGTGGAGGAGCCGGCAGTGGGGGCAGGCAGGTGCAGGCTGGGAGGGGAGCGGGTGCTGCTGAGGCCACGGGCCAGGCAGCCTCCATGTGCTGAGCGGTGGGTCCCCTCCGAACCCCCGGCCTAAGAAGGAAGGAGGGGCCCTAGCAGCGCCTCTTCAGCTTGCTGAGCGACCACTCCCTCAGCTGCAAAAGGGCCTCATCCCTGAAGCGTGGTCCTCAGGGCGGTTGTGGCCGAGGACCCAGGATGAATCTGTGCACAGCAGTGTGGGCACCGTCCTGCCTGTGGCCGCCAGCCGGCCTCTCCGCAGCATCCCCTGGAGGAGGCGCCAGAGGAGCCAGCTGAGCCAGCGCCAGGGACACTCTGGGCCACCGGGAACACCAAGATGAAGCACGTGGCATTGGATTGCAAACTAGATTACAACAGCAAGATCCATCCGTCCACGAGCATCTATGTAAATGTTGAGTAAACAGAGAGAAAGCGAGATCTGCCACGCAGAGGAATTCCAAATAACGTCAGCAGACGCCCCGTCCTCGAGGAGGGCGTTGTAACTCCCACTCCTGACGCGTGAGCAAGCGTGGGCTACACAGAACAGCTCCTTCCCCAGATCGCCATGTGGGAGGGGAGGGACAGAGCAGGTCCACCGTGGAGGATCCTGATGCAGTGACCCAGTCAGCAAGGCCGCCACGGCCAGTGATCCACTCTGCTGACAGCAGGTGCCCTTGATAGGGCATGGCGAGGACACTTCACCCGGGGGATACTCCCCAACCCCACAGCCCCAGTATCTCCGTGAGAACACGCTAGGCAGCCCTCCTCAGCAGCTCTCCTCAAAACTGTCCTCAAACACAAGGAAAGCCTGCAAAAGGTCATAGCCGAGAGGAGCCAAGGGAGACGTGGCGACAAAGCCTCCTGTTTCCTGGGTGGGATCCTGGAGCAGAAGGACACCAGGTGACACCCAGGGAAACCCGAATCCCGCGTGGCGTGGAGGTGGCACCAATCTGTGGGCATGCCCTAGTGATGGGGGAGGAGACGGCAGGGAGGGTGCCAGAGCCCCCTGGACTACCTGAGGCTGTTCTGAAGGAAACATTTACTGAAATTCTAAAAAGATGGAAGAAGAGAGGAACAGGAGGAGGAAGAGGATAAAAGTGGAGGAAGTCGAGGAGGAGAAGACTTTTAGGAAGGGCTGAGGCTGCTCCTCTCCTAACAGGCCGCCTCCCAGGGTAAAGGATGCTGCAGCATCCCCCTCTGTAGCATATCAGAAGCCCCCTAGGATGTGAGCCTAGCAGCAAAGCCCTCCATGTGGAAGCTGGCAGTGCATTTTGTTCCCGTGAAGCCTCGTGGCTGGCAGGCAGGCATGAGTGCAGAGAAGAGAGGTCCACGTAGACCGTGTCCTCCGAGAAGGCTGAGCAGAGGAGACAGAGCCTGAGCCTGGACCCAGGAAGGGTCTGGACAGGTGGGAAGCCCTGGGCAGGACACTCATCGAGGGGTGGGACCCTGGGAGGGAGGGACCGAGGTGGCAGGACTGGGACTGGCGTTAGAGGGCCCCAGGGAGGAGGAGTGAGGTGGGCCACCATGGCCCTGTCCCCAGCTTCCCTGTGGCCTCAGGCCCCTCCAAGCATCTGATGGGTCTTGGGATGGGTCTTGGGACTCTCCTCAAGGAGATGTGCACGTGTGTCCACAGACTCCTGTTGGTGTAACTTCAGGGGACGCTGCCCCGTGGCTGGGAACTGGGGAGGGACAGGCACACTGTGATGTGTTAGATCCTTGGCCCAGTGAATGGGAGACAAGGCAGATCAGGGGCCACGATTCCAGATAGGAAGAAATGAGCCCTCCCCAGCCTCCCAGGTCCGCAGGCCACGCCAAGGGCACATGCAGCTTCGAGATGTGCCGGAAGTGAACCATCTTCCTCTGTTTAGCGTTCGTGTGGGTGTCGTTTTTGAAACTGCTGTTTGATTGCTGCTGGGGATGGCTGTAGTACAGCCGTAGTCAGTAGGAGAGATCCCTGGTGTCCTTCCAGTCTCCATGCTGTGAGGCCCCTGCTGCCACCGGAAGGTGCAGGAGTCCACCGTGGAGAATCCCGATGAGCGTGACCCGGCCAGCAAAGGTGCCACGTCCAGCAAGGGTGCCTGTAGAGCCAACCGAGGCTCTAAAACAGGCGTCCCCAAACTGCAGCCCATGGGCCGCACGTGGCCCCTGAGGCCATTTATCTGGCCCCCCGCCGCACTTCAGGAAGGGGCACCTCCTTCATTGGTGGTGAGAGGAGCACAGTATGTGGCGGCCCTCCAACGGTCTGAGGGACAGTGAACTGGCCCCTGTGTAAAAAGTTTGGGGACGCCTGCTCTAGAAGGTTCCATGCTGTTCTGGAGGGAGGTTGCTAAGGGAAGAACAGTTATCCATCAGACGCTCCATCAGCATCGACAGGCAAAATCAGCACCCACGGCCAGGCACAAGAAAATGCTGAAGTTAAGAGTCCGTGGCCCCTTCTGTGCCGTCAGCCTGACTGGGGCCACTAGGGTCTGCTCGGGCTGAGCCCTCCCCAATCCTGGTGACCTCCCCCACTGCGTATAGCCCACTGCCAGGCAGGAGCCCCCTCTGGGCCTGCGTCTATCGAACCCTCCTCATAAGTCCACCGCATGGCACCTGGCCAGCCCACCTCCAGGCCCAGCACGGCACTCACCCGCTGCGGAAGTTCTGTTTCTGTTTCATTCTGATGTCACTTCAGGGTCCCGCTGCTCTGAAAGGCTGTGCAGCTTGAGGGAGCATTCTCAGGTCCAGAGGACCTTTCCCCTTGCACCCTGACACCTAGTGCCGAGGGGGCGTCCTGCGGCTGGCAGGAGGGAGGAACGGGGCTTTGGGAGTGTCTTCTGCAGTGAGGGTACACCTTCTCATCACAAGCGTTCAGCACCCTGCATCTGTCTGTCACCTCATTCTCCACACAGGTGTGGGGGAGGGCGTCACCGGGTCACCTCGGCCCTCTGGATCCATGACTTGATAATCCAACCTTGTTCACAAAACAGAATTATGGTTCCAGGTGAGCTCAGCAATGGAAGCAGGGTCAGAGGACACTTCCCGTTTAACTTGCCAAAATAGAGTTGCATTTAAGAATGTGGTCCAGGCATGGTGGCTCACACCTGTAATCCCAGCACTTTGGGAGGCGGAGGCGGGAGGATTGCTTGAGCCCAAGAGTTCAAGACCAGACTGGGCATCATGACAAAACCCCATCTTTACAAAATGGAAAAAAATTAGCCAGGCGTGATGGCGCACACCTGTGGTCCCAGCCACTCGGGAAGCCAAGGTGGGAGGATGGCTGAAGCCCAGAGGGTGGAGCCTGCACCCTGCACTGAGACGTGATCACGCCACTGCACTCCCGCTTGGGTGACAGAGCAAGACCCTGTCATCCCCCACCCCCCCAAAAAAAAAGAATGTGGTAATGGATGGATACTATTCTTTCCTTATCTTCTGCAGCTGGCAAAATTTTATTCACTGGCTTTTAAGAATAGTTTTGATCATGTTAGTGCTTTAATCCTATTCTGAGTGGCTAATTTGTGGGTTCTCGAGGAAAACAGCATGCTTATATACAAGAATCATTAGGAAGAGGGGTCTTCTTGGTTTTGGCGAATTTACAGTTGGCTGGATTCGAACACCAGCCAGGGCGCAGAGGTGCAGGTGGAGTGAGCCCCCTAAGGCGTGATCTAAGAACAGCAAGCCCCGTGCCCTCAGCAGTGTCGCCCCTCTGCCGTGGGACCCTGGACAGAGTTCAGCTCAAGGTTGGATTAGCAAGTCCTTGGACACAGTCCCAAATGTGGATGAGGCCCACACTCCTTTCCCTGGGCAGGGGTCCCGGGCTGCTTCCCCGGGCAGGAGAGATAGGGCTCGCTGCGAATGAGCTTTTCACGCTTGAAATATTCTACTTTGCTTTCCCGTTTCCCCTTTGTCTGCTGCCTCTGCTCTTCTGTCTGGAGGCAGTGAAAGCGGCCGGAGCACCCCCAGCCTCTCCATGCTCTCGGACAGCAAGCCGCCCCCTTCCACCTACCAGCAGGCGCCTCGCCACTTCCACGTCCCAGGTAGGCTCCGGGACATGCTGGCTGGGCTCCTCACACCCAGCGTCTGGCCGCACCCGAACCATCAGCTTCCCTTGACTCAGCAGGTGCCAGGCGACGCTCCAGGCTCCTCCACTGCTCCCCAGACCCTGAGATTCTCTAAAACCATCAGACCGATGTGTGTGTGCCTTCCTTCAAAGTCCCACAAACGGCAGGGAGACACGCTTGTCCTCCTGGGAATGGGGTGGAGGAAAAGGGCTGTCCTAGCTGGCCACCCTTCCCCAGGGGCCACAAGGTTCCTGCCTGGTGCCCCACCCCCTGCAGATGGGGTTGGTGTCTGGAGTCAGGGAGGCTTGATGTGGGGCCTGGGTGTCTGTCGCTTGCTGGGTGCCAGTTCCTGCCTGGTGATTCTAGATCTGGGTGAGTGCTTGTTGCTTAAAAAAAGGCTATAGAACAGAAACCATCACAACTTGCTGCTTACCCTCCTGTTCTCTCCTTGTTTTTCTTTCTTCTTCCCCAGACACTGGCGTAAAAGATAACATCTATAGGAAACCCCCTATCTACAGACAGCATGGTACGGTTGGATCCCTCCGCTGCTGTGGTTTGCCCCGCATGCCTGTCAATACCCGTTTGCTTCTGAATGCACCCTTTTGTTGTGCTGTGATTAACGCAGGGAAGGCACCACCGAGGCCCTTAGCAGTCTATTAAATGCAAATTCACGACGATGAAGGGTCTGTCTGAGCAGGGACACTCCTATGTGTCATGAAGCCGAGGCTAATGCATTTCCGCCAGGGCTTGGGACGGGGGTTTACAGCCGAGAGCCTGGGGGTGGTGCCTTCAGCTGTGCGGCCAGCGTGACTTTAGCCAAGACAGGGAGGGCCAGAGGCTTCTGGAACCACGATCTGATCCAGGCCTGGTCTTTGGAATACAGAACAAACTTGAGTCAGTCGCTTATTCCTTCAGGAGACTTTAGTCTTTGTGTTTTGAAAGTTTCTGATGATGGGATGCGTGACCTTACCTTCAGTTACGGAGATGTCCTGCCTAAGTGAATAGGGGCTGGCACCCAGCTCTGCTCCACGTGAACCTGCCTGGGAGGTGCGCAGGGAGCAGCTTGCTTGGGCCCTGGAGCGGGGATCAGAGGCGAAAAGTCTCCCCTCTCTTTCCTCCTGGGATTTCTGGGTGATTGACAGCAGGTTGCTTTACCATCCTGAGCCTCGGTTTACTCATTTGCAAAACAGGACCAATCCCCTTCACCCTGGCCATTCCATGGCTGACCATGGGAACTTCATGAAATACTGAATATGAAAATGCATTCTAAACTCTAAAGTGCTGTGCACATGATGGGAATTGTTATCCAGTTGCTAGCAATGGGGAAGGGCATTTCCATATTGAACGTTCTTGTCCAGATGTGTCTAAAGCAAACAGCCACATCCCACATTGTCAACTGGATGGACACTTTCAGGGGGAATCTCATCAGAAGTGTGTTTTCTGTGACTTGCCGATAAATCAGTGATCAGGTCATGCAAACTTTTAAAAAATTTTCTCCATGATGGTAATAGGTCCTGTATTTTGTGCATTTTTTCATCTTCCCAAGAGGGAAAAAAAGTGAATGAAATCTCTTGAGTTTCCAGAAATGATGACTTCTACCATTGCCTTTCCACCAGAGAAGCTTAGAGCACAAATCTCCAAGAGGGATCAGAGAAAGATGGACTAGATAGACGCTAGGGCCCTTAGAAATTGTCCAGACCAGCTCCCTTGGGTTACAAGTGGGAAAACTGAGTCCTGACCAAAAGAAGGAGCAGCCACAGTAAGTGGCTGTGTTTCCATCATGGCCCTGGCCTGAACAGCCTGCCCTGCCCGGAAGGGCTGTGCATTCTGTGCTCATGGGGGCACAGATTGGGATTGACTACTGTGGCCTTTTATTAACCCACCCCACCTTTGTCTCAGATTGGTGCCTTAAAATGTGTGGTTCACATGTGCAGGACAGGAGGGGGTCTGCCCATTAGAAAGGGGAAGCGAGCAGGCCGGGTGCGTGGCTCACGCCTGTAATCCCAGCACTTTGGGAGGCTGAAGCAGGCGGATCATGAGGTCGGGAGATCGAGACTATCCTGGCCATGGTGAAATCCTGTCTCCACTGAAATACAAAAAAATTAGCTGGGTGTGGTGGCATTGGCCGTAGTCCCAGCTACTCAGGAGGCTGAGGCAGGGGAATCGCTTGAATCTGGGAGATGGAGGTTGCAGTGAGCCGAGATTGTGCCACTGCACTCCAGCCTGCCAAAAGAGCAAGACTCCAACTCAAAAAAAAAAAAAAAGAAAGAAAGAAAGGGGAAGAAAGCAAACCAGGTTATGAAATTGTTCATTGCCGTCCAGCAGACCCAGATCTAAGACAAAGAGCTTGGCCCTTAGTCCCTTAACCAAACCATCACTGGAGCGAGGAGGTTTTACCCTCTCTAGTGATCGTCTTTGTGCGTCTTAAAAATCTGGCTACAAATGACTCTCCTATCCAAAGGCAAGTTAATTCGCTTTGATTAAACCCCAAGCAATTACCAAAACTCTTATCCTTTCAAAATTTTGCTATGGGCCGAGCACAGTGGCTCAGGCATATAATGCTGGCACTTTTGGAGGCCAAGGCCGGTGGCTTGACTGAGCTCTGGCATTTGAGACCAGCCTGGGCAACATGGTGAAACCCCATCTCTATTAAAATACAAAAAAAATAGCCAGGTGCAGCGGCATGAACCTGTAGTCCCAGCTACTCCAGAGGCTGAGGCAGGAGAATTCCTTGAACCGGGGAGGCAGAGGTTGCAGTGAGCCAAGATCATGCCACTGCACCCCAGCCTGGATGCCAGAGCGAGATGGCATCTCAAAAAAAAATTGCTGTATTAGTTTTTTTAAGAACTAGATTCGATAGAGCACCTGCTCCCTGCCAGGCACTTGGCCACATTCTGGGGACAAACATGAGTAAAATCCGTCCCAGACTTGCAGGTGAATGGGGCCTGACGCAGTGGTTCACACCTGTAACTCCAGCATGCTGGGAGGCCGAGGTGGGTGGATCACTTGAGCTCAGGAGTCTGAAACCAGTCTGGGCAACATGTAGAAACCCCATCTTAATTAATTAATTAATTAATTAATTTTTATTTATTTTTTTTGAGACACAGTCTCTCTGTAGGCCAGGCTGGAGTATAGTGGCATGATCTTGGCTCACTGCAACCTCCACCTCCCGGGTTCAAGCAATTCTCCTGTCTCATCCTCCTGAGTAGCTGGGACTTCAGGCACACACCACCATGCCTAGCTACTTTTTGTATTTTTAGTGAAGGTGGGGTTTTACTGTGTTGGCCAGGATGGTCTCAATCTCCTGACCTTGTGATCTGCCAGCATTGGCCTCCCAAAGTCCTGGGATTACAAGTGTGAGCCACCATGCCCAGCCCCTATCTTCACTAAAAATATTAAAAATTAGCTGGGTGTAGTGGCATGCACCTGTGGTCCCAGCTCATTGGGAGCCTGAGGTGGGAGGATCACTTGAGCCCGGGAGGTCAAATTTGCAATGAGCCAAGATCGTGCCACTGTCCTCCAGCCTGGGTGACAAAGCAAGATTCTGTCTCAAAAAGAAAGAAAGAAAGTAAATGGGCAGTGCAAATTGTATGTAATTGGGCATGAATTGATTTCCAGTGTACACATTTAAGATGTTCTTTTACCAGATATTCTCCTATCCAGGTAGAATTTATTCTGTCAAAAGTATGCCCATGAATGCCCGGGTATGTGCATATGTGTGTGTGCGTGCGTGCATGCGTGTATAAGAACCACATGCAGGCCGGGCGCGGTGGCTCAAGCCTGTAATCCCAGCACTTTGGGAGGCCGAGGCAGGCAGATCACCTGAGGTCAGGAATTTGAGACCAGCCTGGCCAACATGGTGAAACCCCGTCTCTACAAAAATTAGCTGGGCAGGATGGCGGGTGTCTGCAGTCCAGCTACTCAGGAGGCTGAGGCAGGAGAATCGCTTGAACCCAGGAGGCAGGGGTAGAGGCCGGGTTTCACCATGTTGCCTTACCAGGAAGCAGAGGTTTCAGTGAGCCAAGATCGTCCCACTGTACTCCTGCCTAGGTGACAGAGCAAGACTCTGTCTCAAAAAAAAAAAAAAAAAAAAAAAAAAAAAAAAAAAAAAAAATCCATTTCCTTAATGTATTTACTTTCAACTCTCTGTTTCGAGCTCATTGAAAGTTTTTAAAGTTAGCACTGCATTTTCCTGATGCCCGAACCCTAGGATTCCTGCTTTAGGGAACTCAGCCTCCAGCATGAGAGTGGTCAGGCCTTCAGGGCGCAGGGGTGACACTTGATGTTGAAGATGCCTGGGGTTTGAGGAGCTGCCACTCAGTGTGTGGACACCACATACTAGGCCCTCAATAGAGGGCCTCGCCTCTCACCTGGGCACCTCTGAGGCTGCTGCTGGTACAGGTGAGGAGGCTGAGGCTGGGGTGGGAACAGGACCAGGCACTGGCTGAGCTGGCAGCCTTCGGGGCCCCACAGCGCACTCTTGCACCACTGCAGGCTCACTGCATGGTTACTATTTATTGGCTTCTTTAAACAGAGAAAGGAAGTAAAAGGAAATGAATAGAAAATAAAACAGGAAGGCGGGGCCAGGCACAGTGACTTACGGCTGTAAATCCAGCACTTTGGGAAGCCAAGGCAGGTGGATCACTTGAGGTCAGGAGTTCAAGAGCAGCCTGGCCAACATGGTGAAACCCCATCTCTGCTAAAAATACAAAATTAGCTGGGCGTGTTGGAACATGCCTGTAATCCCAGTTACTCAAGAGGCTGAGGCAGGAGAATTGCTTGAACCCAGGAGGCAGAAGTTGCAGTGAGCCGATATCGCGCCACTGCACTCCAGCCTGGGTAACGGAGGGAAACACGTCTCAAAAAAAATTAATTGATTAATTAAATATAATTAATTAAATAGACCAAATTCACGAGGGGAAAAATGATGGCTCCCCAACATTTCCCAGTCAGTTCGACGCTCCAGATACAGGGACAGTCCTCCTGGTTACCAGATTTGCTGTTTCATTTCTAAGCAATCCTGAGCCACCAGATGGCAACCTGGCTCTCCCCTCACCCCCAACACACACACTTGCTCAGCAGGTGGGGGCTCTGACTGCTGCCCACCGGAAGCCAGCAGTGGAAACCACGCCACGGGGCATGCGCTATTCCCGATGTCTTTGCGCCCTGGTTTAGAGCAGGAATGAATCAGTCTTCGTTGTGTCTCTCTGGGATTCCAGATTCTAGGGGGGTTGAGTTTCATGTTGGTTTGGGGTCCTTTTTGGCCCCAAATGGTGGAGGCTTGTTTCTGTTTTGGGACCGGTGGGGTGGGGAGGAAAGGCAGGCTGTGTCCAGGGCAAGATGGCACTGGGTAGTCCCTGCTGAGTCCCCTCAAGGGAGCCAGGGAGTAGGAAGTCAGCCTCTCCCTAGAGGGTTCCTCATGGCCAATGGTTGCCAGGGCTCAGAAGGAACTGTCTGTGTGATACGAAACACACACTAACCCCTCCCTCTGCGGTGCAGAGAAGGCAGAAAGGCCATCCTAGAATGGTGGAAGACGGGCCAGGCGCAGTGGCTCACACCTGTAATCCCGGCATTTTGGGAGGCCGAGGCAGGTGGATCACCTGAGGTTAGGCGTTTGAGACCAGCTTGGCCAACATGGTGAAACCCTGTCTCTACTGAAAAATCAGCTGGGTGAGGTGGTAGGCGCCTGTAGTCCCAGATACTCTGAAGGCTGAGGTCTGCAAATTGCTTAAACCTGGGAGGCAGAGGTTGCAGTGAGCCGAGATAGCACCATTGCACTCTGGCCTGGGCAGCAGATCGAGACTTCATCTAAAAAAAAAAAAAAAAAAAAATACATAAATAAAGAAAGGTGGAAGGGAGGGAGGCCGGAAGGAGGAGGGAGGGATGCAAAGGCATTGGCTGGGGCGGAGACTCCAGGCCCACTTTCCTCGTTGTCGTCTGAAGTCTTTTTCCATCCTGACATCAACCAGGGAGCAGACATTCTTATTCTGACTCAAGAGAGGAGAAAGCCCAGCATGGAGGGATTTGAATGACTTTAATTTATCCAAGGGTTGTTTTTCAAGCACCCACCCACTGTGTGCTAGGGCCTGTCCCAGTGCTGGGGATACATGGGTGACCCTGCATTCCCCCTGATCCCTGGAGCTGAGATTCTAGCAGATTTGCCCACGGCCAGACAGGTGAGAGGCTGAGGGAGGTTTCTAGTTGCCAGTGCACGTGCTCTGGGTCCCGCCCACACACTTGCGCTCTCACATACACATACTCACATTCCCTCCCTCCCTCTGCCTCTCTCTCTCTCTCCCCTCCTCTCAATGTCATTCCAATTCACTGTGAATTGTAGAGATAGAGATCATTCTGAGAAGAGAAAAAATCCTGTTGATGGGTCTACTCCTTAGAGGCTCAGTCCGGAGGGCATAGGAGGGGACAAATCCTCAAAACCTCCTGCAAAGCCATTCAAAGTCCCAGCAGCAGAGAGGACATCTCTCTCTGGCTGAAGGGATGAAGCCCCGAGCACCTTCCCCAGTTACTGTCAGCTCCTTCCCTTGTCAGAGAGAGCGCCCGCTGGTGCCGGCCCTGGCTCCTGGCTGCTGGAATCCTGGACTTGCCTCAGGCTTGTGCAGACATTCTCAGGAATGATTCTGCACTGGAGACAGAGGAAAGTCTGGTGAGGAGTACGGCAGAGACCACCTTCTGGTGACAGAGCCTTGGCTGGCCCCAGCAGCACAGTGGTGGAACAGCCCCCACATCTGCTGGCCCCTGCGCACTGGCAAGAGATCTTTGGAGGTTAGGGCTGTTGCTGTGTTGATGCCAGCAAAGAGGGAGCTGGTAGGGCCCTCCCTTGGAAACACGGGGTGTGTGCGTGTCCATCTCACTCACTTCCTCTGTGCACGTTGGCTGCAGATTGGCACATCGGTCACCCAAGGGAGTGCAGAGGCTTATCAGATGCAGCCGTGGCCCTCGAAGCATCTCTCTTCAGCTGCTCTGTGGGGAAGCGGATTTGTACACGTTACAGGAAGTCAAGTGGTTGGCGATGCAGCCCTGAGTCTCAAAATTTACGTGTCTGACATGGAGGACAAAGTGACTCCAGCTCTGGCTTCAGGGTCAGAGACAGACAAGGTTCCAATTACCATCTATGTGACCTTAGACTCTGGACCTCGGTCTCCTCATCAGTAAATTAGGTTCATAGCATCTATTATTATCTATTAACATGCTTTAAAAATGTTTACCCAAGGCCCAGTGACTCAACTCCTGTAATCCCAGCACTTTGGGAGGCCAAGGCGGGTGAATCATATGTGGTCAGGAGTTCAAGACCAACCTGACCAACATGGCAAAATGTCATCTCAACTAAAAATGCAAAAAATTGGCCAGACACGGTGGCAAGCACCTGTAATCCCAGCTACTCAGGAGGCTACGGCAGGAGAATCACTTGAACCCAGGAGGCAGAGGTTGCAGTGAGCCGAGATTGTGCCATTGCACTTCAGCCTGAGCGACAGAGCGAGACTCTGTCTCAAAAAAGAAGAGTTTATCCAGACCACAATACAGGGTTTATCCAATGAGTAGATGTATTCAGTAAGTACTTACCACATGCATGTTCTCAGGAACACACCTCTGTGTTGACTTTGCCCTTCCCATCAAAGCTCTTGTTATGTACCACCTCTGCCTCCACTTCACTGGCCTGTAAGCTTCTGAAAGACAAGGGTCATGTCTGAGTTTTTTCAGCATGCCCCATTCTTAAGATAGTACAGTGCACAGTAGGCACTCGAGACAGAGAGGGGGACAAAGGTTGAGGGGCTAAGAGTGAACAGAGGGTAGATGGACTGATCCATGCATTAAGGGCTACATGGATGAATGGATGCATCAGTGAGCAAAGAAATGAAGTGGACAAAGAGAGGGATAGATGAATGCATGGGTAAGTGGGCAGATGGGTGGGTGGGTGGGTGGGTGGGTAGATGGATGGATGGATGAGTAGGTGATTGAGTAGATTAGTGGAAGCTGGATGAATATAAAAATAATGGATGCACAAGTGGATGGATAGATGGATGGATGGTGGGTGGATGGATGGGTAAATGGATGTTTGGGTGGCTGGGTGGATGGATGGATGGGTGAGTGAAGGATGGATGGATCGATGGGTAGATGGATGGGTGGTGGGGTGGATGGGGGGTGGGTGGATAGATGGATGGACAGATGGATGGATGGATGGATGGATAGATTAATAGATGGGTGGATAGGTGGGTGGATGGATGGATGAATGGATGGATGAAGGATAGGTGGATGGATGGATGGATGAATGGGAAGATGGGTGGATGGGTAGATGGATGGGTAGATGAATAGATGAGTGGATGGGTGGATGGATGGATGAAGGATGGGTGGAGGGATGGGGTAGATGGATGCATGGGTGGGTGGATGGGTAGATGGATGGATGGATAGATAGATGAATAGATGGTGGATGGGAGGATGGGTGGATGGGTGAATGGATGGGTGGGTGGATGGATTGATGGGTGGGTAGATGGGTAGATGGATGGATGGGTAGATAGATGAACAGATGGGTGAATAGGTGGGTGGATGGGTGGATGGATGGGTGGGTGGGTGAATGGATGGGTGGATGGATTGATGGGTGGGTAGATGGGTAGATGGATGGATGGGTAGATAAATGAACAGATGGGTGGATAGGTGGGTGGATGGGTGGATGGATGGGTGGGTGGGTGGATGGATGAATGGATGGATGGATGGATGGGTGAGTGAGTGGATGGATAAATGGATGGGTGGGTGGGTAGATGGGTGGATGGATGAATGAATGGATGGATGGATGAATGAATGAATGGATGGATGGATGAAAGATGAGTTGGTGGATGGGTGGGTAGATGGGTAGATGGATGGATAGATGGATGGATGGGTGGGTGAATGGGTGGGTAGATGCATGGATGAATGGGCAGATGGGTGGATGGGTAGATGGATGAATAGATAAAGTGTATGTAAGAAGGAGTAAAGGGGTAAGGGATGTCCACAGGCTGGCATGGATGTTCATATGTGAATGAATTATAAGATGGGGTTTGGGAAGGAGGAAAAGCAGGCCAGTTCTGTACATAGAAAAGTAATTTGAGACCTCTTTCATTCAGACGCTGCCAACCAAAGGTATCCCAAGGAATACAGGGAATAGAAAGTCAGCCTTTCCCAAGAGGGTTCCTCATGACAAATGCATTCCAGAACTCGGGAGGAGCTCCTGTGTGATGCAAGAGACATTTTAAACTCTCTTTCTCTGATTGTCCTGAACTGATCTGTCTGACATCCCAAAGCAGCGTGCTACAAATCAGCCTCAGCGTTGGCCTTTCGTTTATCCCGAATTTTTCAAACCTGTAAGCTGAGTTTTCCATTATGTCCCCACATTCATGCAGGTTATCTCACGTGGTCCTCACAACTTGGAGGGTAGGCATCCTTTGCCTATTTTACAGATGAGGAAACTGAGGCTCAGAGCTGTTACGGGAGCAAGCCACCAATAATCCAAAGTGCCAGTTTTCTATCTTTTCCTACCCAGGCTCCTAGTTCTCAAGAGACTTGGTTGTCTGTTTTGTGAGCTTGCAAACTGGTTTTCAAAAAGTCCTTGGTCCAAGTCTGGTTAAACTATGCCCATCTGGAGGAGCTGGCAGTGTTTGCAGAGGAAGCTTGCTAAATCTTGGCAGAATATCCCTCTCTCAGATGTCAGGGGCTGTTCTTGAGACCTGAGATGGCTCTCCAGCCAGAATGTGTCTGGTCAGCCATCTTCCGTAGCTGCGGGAAGTCCTTGCAGTCAGGGTGACCTCTGGGCCCCCAGGCCTGAATTCCAAGGGCTGGGATTTCATGTCCCCAAGGGCCCTTCATCTGGAGCAAACTAATTATTCGTGCACGTGCAGATTACTCCAAGTGGTGTGATCCACATTTCGGCGTCCTGGCTTTTCAGGAAATGGTGCACTTACTTTTACCAGCCGACTCAGCCCCAGGGACTTCTCTGGCTCGGACGATGGCTATGCCCTTAGAGCTCCAAGTAGTCCCTGGCCTGCCTCGTCCCTGGGACTTGCTGGGCAGCTGCCAAGAGTCATGACTGATGCGTGGCCGCATGCTCAAGGGCTCCGCTGCCGGGCGACGGCTGTTGTCTGGGCAACAGGAGAGTCCAGCTGTGGGCATGCGTCCCCCAGAGCTCCCTGCCCCCTCTGCCTCTCCATCAGGCACTTCTGGAGCCAGGCTGGGCGTCGATTTGCCTCTGCGAGTGGGGAGAGCAGGGCTTTGTGTTTTCACGCTGAAAATCACTGTCACTCCTGGACGAAGGAGAAACAGGTAGCCGTTGAGAGTAACGAGATGTCAGTGTATTCGGAACGGAACTGCTCAGTCTTCAATTTTGGCCTTATCTTGTCAAGGTCCTGTAGTCCAATCCCAAATTTCCAAGCTCTCTGGCCTGGTATCAGTCTTGTCCTTGGTGGTGCAGGAGGCAGGGTACGCCAAAAGACAGACGGGCCCGAGCCTGCCGCCCGCTGCAGGTAAGAAGCCCGCCTCGGTGTGTCCTTCCTGAGGCCCGGGTCTTCGTGGTGGGCTGGGGACCGAGACGGATTTTTGTGTAATTGTTCAGTGCATGGGGGTCAGTGTTTTCTGTACGGGATACAGAAGGTGTGGGGCTTTACGTACGAAATTGGATGCCGAGAAATGTCAGCATGGCCTCGTGTGATTTATTTGCTCATTCTTGGCTGGAGATGTCAGCCCAGCTGGGTGACAACCTCCCCACAAAAAAGGCGAATGGAAAATCCAGACGCTTCATTACTCAGCTCCAGACAGTATCCTTGGTAAAGGGACTGTTGCGAAATGGACTTTTGCTTGTTCTAGTTAACATTGAGTCCATTTCTGGTTGTGTTTTGTAATCTTGTCATTTCCTGACCGTGGACGTCTTCCAGTAGCAGAAACCGTCACCATTTTGCAGTTTGCCAGCAGTTAGCCAGGTGGGGCAGACAGGGAAGGACTTTGGGCTCAGAAGGCCTGGCTCACGTCGGCCTCTGGTGCCCACTCATCCGTGACCCTGTGTGAGGCGTGCCACGTCCCTGAGCCTCAGTCTCTTGATCTGTGAAACAGTGTGAAGCCCCTTCCTGGGGGAGCGGGTGGGGTAGGTATTGGCATACGCAGAGCCCCTTGCCCAGCTCAGACACGTTGACCTCCATGACTGAGACTTTGTGTTAGGTGGGAGGTTTTTAAAATGCATGTTCTCAAAAGGCCACATGGGCCGGGTATGGTGCCTCAAGCCTGTAATCCTAGCACTTTGGGAGGCTGAGGCACGTGGATCACTTGAGAACTTGGTCAAGAGTTCAAGACCGTGTATGTTGGTGGGAAAATAGGGGAGGGACAGAGCTGGAGGTGGTGGTGGGGGGAGTTGGTGAGATAGCATGGGTTGTTTTGTTTTTTTTTTTGAAAAAAAAAAAAAGAAAAAGAAATCTTCATTTTGCTTTGGAAAACCAGAGCATTTAAAATTTTTTCTAAGAGGTGTTATCATTTTCAATCTAGTATTATAATTTCTATGGTTATATACTATATGTATTACCTCATAAGCTTTTTAAGTAAACCATCACTACTTTAAAAAATAATAATTAAAAAAAAAAAAAAAGAGTTCAAGACCAGCCTGGCCAACATAGCAAAACCCTGTCTCTACCAGAAATACAAAACTTAGCCAGGCGTGGTGGCACACACCTGTAATCCCAGCTTCCCTGGGTAGCTGAGGCAAGAGAATCGCTTGAACCCGGGAGGCAGACGTTGCAGTGAGCTGAGATTGCACCACTGCACTCCAGCCTGGGTGACGACAGAGTGGGACTCCGTCTCGAAAACAAAACAAAACAAAATCAAAGGCCACGTGGCTGCATCTGCAAACGTGGCTCTGCTCTGTGTGGATGTTTGGCTGGAACTGAAATCGGGCCTCACTTCACACCCCTGCTGCCATTGCTCCCCCGGCAGGTTCTCTGGGGGCCTCGTCCAGCTCACTCTCTGTTCCTTACCCCTCGAAAGGCACTCGTACGACTGACCTTCTCTTTGATTGATTTTTCATTTTTGAGCATAACTGTAACATGGGAAATTGTGATGTGGAAACCCACAATAAATGGTGTGTTGCCTTTACAAATTGATCTTTCCCTTCCAGCTGCGAGGCGATCCGATGCGGAGGATGGAAGCTTCGACCAGGATAGCAGGAAGGTAATGCCAGGGAGCAGAGCTAGCTTAGAACAGCCTTGCTCAGAAAGAAGGCGATTTTGTGGGAGCGTCTCCAGTGGGAACTTCAGAATCTTTCTCATGCGTTCTGTTCCCTAGGGGCCCTGCAAGGCCGAAAGCACGAGGCCCTTCCTTCCGTTTCCTTCCTGCGTTTAGGACACACACACCTTCTACCAAGGTCCTGGTTATATGCCCGTGTGCCTTGGTTATGGTTCTGCGACTCAAGAGATGTGTGCCATGAAAGGGAAATAAACCAGAGTGTATCCCTGGGGCATCCTCTAGTCTAGAACAGGTTCAGCAGGCGTTTTTCATACAGGGCCATAAAGAGAGTAAATACGTCCGGCTTTGTGGGGCTACACCGTCTCCAGTGCGGCCACCGAACTCTGTGAGCGCAGCCAGAGCCGAGACATGAACGGGCATCTCCGTGTTCCAACGACATGCTCGTCACAAAAGCAGGCTGTGCGCTGGGCGTGGCGCCTGGGCTGCGTTCAACCTCCCTGGCTCCCTTCACCTGTGCTAGCGCTGGAACGCAGGGTTGTGTGTGGGAAGAGCCCAAGGCTGGACTTGGCAGCCTCCCTCGTTCTTCCCATGCGGATCCCTGCGGGTCCCTGGCCCCCCAGAGCCTGGATGGCTGTGTCCGTAAGTTGGGGCAGCTCCCTTTCCTCTAGGTGCTCCATGTACCTCCACGGCGTCTGGATAGGTCTCACTCAGCGGCGAGGTTTCTATTGAAAGCTACATTTCTCACGTATTGAGTTTTCTCACACTGGGGTCAGCTCATAGGTTAAAAGCAAGGAAGCTGGCCAGGCGCAGTGTCTCGCGCCTGTAATCTCAGCACTTTGGGAGGCCAGTGTAGGTGGATCACGAGGTCAAGAGATCAAGATCATCATGGCCAACATAGTGAAACTCCGTCTCTACTAAAAATATACAGATTGGCCTGGCGTGGTGGCATGCGCCTGTAGTCCCAGCTACTCGGGAACCTGAGGCAGGAGAATCGCTTGAACCCGGGAGGTGGAGGTTGCAGAGATCACACTACTGCACTCTAGCCTGGACAGCAAGAGCGAAACTCTGTCTCAAAAAAAAAAAAAAAAAAAAAAAAAAAAAAAAAAAAAAAAAAAAAAGTAAAGAAGCTGCAAGAAAGGTCCAGTGAGATGTTTCCACCACTGCAGGCGACCTCGAAATCCACGTGACTTTGTTTTTTCCTTCAGCAGAAGAGCAGCTGGCTGATGCTCAAGGGGGAGTCAGACACCAGGACCAACTCTCCAGACCTGGACAGCCAGTCCTTGTCCCACAGCAGCGGGCCCGAAAGGGACCCTCTCCACCGGACGCCAGGGGACAGCTTTCACGCACGTGAGTGGTTCTTTTGAAGAAGGAGCTGTGATGTGCACAAAAGGCCTTGCAGCAAAGGGGCCCCGTAACTCAGAGCAATCCCCCCAAATCTAAGCCTTGCCTGTTAAAAAGCATAAGAGCAAGCCAGCAAACCTAAGCACCGACTGGATGGAAAACGGGGCTCCTGCAGTTTGCTCACTTGGCCGTCCCCGAGCCAGTCTGCTAGCAGGCGTCATGCCTGCATGTCCCCTCACAGCTCTCCAGGGCCTTCGAGAATGCAGAATGCCAGATCTGCTCCTGGGCTGCTCAGGAGAAAGGCGTCCGGGCTGACGGGTGGGAGTCGAGGCCTCTTCCCTCCAGAGCACACATGGGCATGGTCCGGCTGATGAGTACAGACTTGGAGTTGGTGACAGAGCACCGTCCCTGTCCCCTGTGACTCATCCTGAACAAGGCACAGCCTCAGGCCTCACAGGGAGACAGGGATGGCGTCTGCCTGCCCCTAGGGGTGTTCTGAAGACTGAATCGGGGTGATTTTCAAATGTACAGAAAACTTCAGATAATGCTGTTTGCTTCCAGCCGCTGTAACTCGTAGGTGAAAACCAGTAGCAAATGCAGCCAGACTCACTCAGCGCCTCCCAGAAGGGTCTCAGCTGGGCGGGGGGCAGTTTTCCTTGGGCTTAGCTTGGAAGCAGGGGCCGGGAGGTGTGAGAGCAGAAGAAAGACCTGGTTTTGCAGTGAGGCAGACCCAAATTCAAATTCGAGCTCACCACTGACCAGCCATGTGACGGGCCAAGTGGAAGTGGGTACATGTGTGGCACTCAGCCAGCCATAGTAGATGCTCTGTAAACAGAAACTGCTTCTCATCCTCATCCTCACCTTCATGCCTGGAAACTGTAAACCATCTCACTTAACAACTTAAGTAGAAAAGTGTTTCAATGTGCCGCAGAAGCTTGGAGACTATAATACGTTAAAGAATCACTTGAAACAAAGAAAGGTGTGTCGCTTGCTCTGTAAGCAGGTGTCTGTGTACCCCTCGGGCCTCTGTCCCCACCTGGGGTGCAGCTTTGTAAATATCAGGATCCCAGAGGCTGGGCACAAGGCTGATGTTGCCATAGGAAAGCCACCAAGCCACCTGCAAAAAAATCCCCCAGAGGGAGAGGGGCCAACCCCAGATGGCAGCCTGTTCCCTCCGGGAGAACTGCCCATTTCATCTGCAGGCAGGGCAGGGGGCTATGGGGCTGGTCCGCATATGCCTGCCTGTGCCCCATGGGCAGCTGCCTGCCAGTCCCCCAGTCCCTCTCTCTTGGGTCCCAGGAATCCCTGCCCCCGGCTGGTACAGTGCTTGCTTGCAGGCCAGGGAACATTGGCCTGGCCCGTGGCCCCTCTGCCCTGCACTCACGTGTCCTGATGGTGGTTGTGTTTGTAAGGGGAGCTCCTCTTACACCAGCTCAGTAGCTTCCCCAGCACCATCCCCACCTTGTTCAGTGTCCCGGCATCAAGGCGTTGGCCCTGGCCCTGGCCCTGGGAACCAGGAAATCAGTGTTTGGGGATCTCAGGGTGGCATCATTCAGCATTCAGTCCTTCCTATCCAGGTGGCCGGCAGGACTCTGCAAGGCTGGGGCCACACTCGTGACCTCCCCAATTTGATGACCCCCCCAATTTGATGACCCTCAGACTCTTTGAGGAGGCCAACTATTGTCCCCAGAATTCCCACTCATGTTTGTGGCCTGCCTGTGGCTCAGGACTGTGGGAGGAGGGGTGCTGTGTGGGAGAAGCCAGGCTACAGCCGGGCTGCCCCCCGGACCCCCCGGGCCCCTGAAAGGCTGTGTGGCCTGCACATGTGGCTTCCCCTCATATACCGCTTCCTCATTTAAAAATGCCGGAATGTAGGTGCCCTGGAGTTGCTCCAGGAGCTCACAAGCCTGGCGAGGGGCAGGCCCTTCGAGGCCCAGAAGCCATGGCAGGTCACTCAGCGGCCAGGGCCTGTGTCAGCCCTGCCCCTCGCCGCCACGTTCTCCTTCCAGGCTGCCTGTGCAGACCCATGCAGGACGCAGCGGCCTCCGTCCTGGCGTGCTGGGTCTGCAGGACTCCTACGGCCCGTGCTGAGCTCACGAATTCCCCTGGGGGATTGTGCGCCAGCGAAGATGTGTGTCTTCCCCCTGCCGTGCCTGCTTACGAGGCTGTGGCTGTGCTGCTGTCCTTCCTGCGCTTTCTGCTGGTGTTTTGACGTTATGTCCTCTGAGCAGGAGCCCGCGGTGTCTAACCATTCTGATTCGTGCCTTTATTTCCATCTCCATGGCATTGCCTTGTTTCCCGATTTGCATGGGAATGGCAGCGACGACCCAGGCTACCAGCTGTGCCTGGATCACGTGAGCCTTGCCATCTGCGGCCTCCTGAGGAATCCAGGCGGGAAGGGGAGCACACGGAGATGGAGAGCTAGCCACTCTTTTCTGTCGGGGTTCTTTTGATTCTCACCAAGTAGCCCCAGACCTGAGTCCATGCGCACCAGTTCCATTTGCATACAGTGTTCACTGAACAGAGCATTTGCACACAGCAAGGCTGGCCCCCGTGCCTCGGGCCGCCCATCGGTGGCGCCCAAGGAAGGTAGGATTGTGACACTCAACACAGTGGGCACTCAATAAATGTCTGTTGAATTGAAATGCGTTACATTCAACGGGTATTTATTGAGCACCCACTCTGTGCCAGACGCTGAGCGGGGCGCCGAGGGGGACAGAGAAGATGAGAGGAGCCCCGGGAGAAGCATGCAGGGGGCTGGGAGAGGCAGAGACGCCGACAGAGTGAGTGCACGCACGTCCGCCGCCACCTGCCCGCCGGGTGCTGCTGTGGCCTCACAAGGGCTGGGTCACAAAGTCGTGTCACCCACAGCACCATCTGCGCATCTCACCCGGGACTGAATCCATCATTCAGTCATTCATCCATCCCTCCACAAAATACTTACTGAGCACCTACTATGCGCTGGGCTTGGTGCTAGGCACTGGAGAGGCAGTGGTGAGCGTGGCCCAGTCCCTGTTCCCCAGCAGGGAAGCCAGAGGACTCTACAGTGGTGACAAGCCAGGGAGCCATCCCCACCCCATTAGTTCTCAGCAGGCACCACCATCCCTCCAAAGAAGGTGTCATATTATTAGACATAGAAATATAATATAGAATAGATTTCCATAATATAGAAATCTATTTCTATAGAATAGATTTCCATAATATAGAAATTCTATAGATTTCAATAATATAGAAATCTCTATATTATTACAGACTATTTTTCTGTTCCTTTTTATATTACACAGAGGGGTTTATCTGGACTACATGCAGAGCAGTTTATATTATCAGTGAACCTGAATTCTGCACAGGAAGGGAGGCTATGGATTTTTTGTTGCAAGAGGCGTTATTGGACGAGGCTCGCTGCCCTGGCAAGGGACACAAGGGGGTCCCACGTCCTCCCCTCCCTGGCAGCCCGGCCTGCTGCTGCTTGGGGTTCCACTTTCCTAACCTCTTGAGGCCCCATCCTCTCTTTTGAGGTCTTCCACATCGCACCCTTGGAGATCAGAGGCATGTCAGCATAATACAAACCCCATGGGCAGCTTGAGGCACAGCCCAGAGGACTCAGTGGCCCCTGGAAAGGACCCAGCACTTCTACAGGGAATAAGTCCCTTTCCTCAAATGCCAGCACGTGAGGCCCGTGTGAGCAGTGGGAGTGTGGGAACCAGGGTGGCTTCGCCAGGTTGGACGGGGTGAGGGAAGCTCTGAATTAACTACCACGGCAGCACAGGGGGGCCCCCGTGGGGGCGCTTCACCCCCAACCTGCTGGGGCTTTGGCATTTTCTGTCCCCTCTTGTGCCCCCTGGCTGTGGGACCAGGTGGAGTCCTGCGTCTGCTTGTCTCCCCGCTGCCTGGTCTCGGAGCCTGCTGGGAGGGAGGGGCGGGAGGCGGCATCTCTGCTGCAGCTTTCCTGTTCCTGCCAGCAGAAGGGAAGGCGGTGGGTGGGGGCTGGGACAGAGGTGGCCTTCCTCCTTTCTCCTTTTATTCCTCCGGAGTTGCAAAGTGGGGCAGAAAAGTTCTTCTCACATTCCTTAGTCCACGGTTGAAGGAAGAGACTCCCTGATAGGCTACCTGTGAATCTCCAGAGAGTATCTGGTGGGACGGGCAGGGCACGTGGCTCAGGCTTAGAGATGTGAGACCCCCCTGAGGGTGGAATCCTCAAACATCAGAACTGGAAGAAGAGGGCCAGGAACGGTGGCTATAATCCCAGCACTTTGGGAGGCCTAGGTGGGTGGGTCACCTGAGGTCAGGAGTTTGAGACCAGCCTGATCAACATGGTGAAACTAAATACGAAAAATTAGGCAGGCGTGGTGGAGGATGCTTGTAATCCCAGCTACTTGAGAGGCTGAGGCAGGAGAATTGCTTGAACCCGGGAGGCGGAGGTTGCAGTGACCCGAGATTGCGCCATTGCACTCTAGTCTGGGGGACAGAGCGAGACTCTGTCTCAAAAAAAAATAATAATAAAATAAAAAAGAACTGGAAGAAGAGCATAGCAGCCCAGAGACAGTGGGTGGGGGCTGCCAGTGAGCAGATGCGGGCGCTCGCCAGCTTCTGACCTGGGACTGTGTGACTTTACGCTGGCGTGGAAGCCATGTACACCGGGTAGAAAGCATACCTGGAGGGCCCACACACCCACTGCTTCTCACCCTCAGTATAGCATTCAGCGAATGAACAAGCCGGTCAGCCCCTAGCGATGCACCAGGCTGTGCGTGAGATGACTCTGCCTTGACAGGGCGAAGGCTAATGCTGGTTTCCGAGCATGTTTAAAGCAGGCTGGCTAAGCCGTGATGTTCACTAGGTTAGGTGCATTCAATGCGTTTTCGACTTAGGATCTTTTTATCTTACTGGGTTTATGGGATGTGTTGAGCCTATGGTGAGCCAAGAGGCATCTGTCTGTATTTCATGAGTTCTCGCTGTGTTCTGGCGCTGTCCTGGATGCCGGGGACAGAGCAGAGGCCAAAACAGACAAA